ATTTTCCATAGGGGTTGCACCATTTTGCATTCCCACCAACAATATATGAGAGTTCCTTTTTTCTCCGCAACCTCGCCAGCATTTATCGTTCAGCGTCTTTTGGATTTTAGCACAATGGAATACTACTCAGCTATAAAAACGAATGAAATACTGCCATTTGCAACAACATGGATGGACCTTGAGAGAATAATATTAAGTGAAACGAGTCAGGCAGAGAAAAAGAAATACCACATGTTCTCACTTATTTGTGGGAGCTAAAAATAAATAAATAAATTCACACACATACACACACACACAAAAAAAAATAAACAAAAACAAAAAACTGTGGGAGCTAAAAATAAATAAATAAATTCACACACACACACACACACACACACACACAAATAAACAAAAACAAAAAACAGGGAAGAAGATATAACAACTATACAAAAAAATCAAAAAAACGGTGGGGGGGCGGAGAGGAAGATATAACAACTACAATTTTTTTGAAGTTCTTAAAACAAGCAAATGGAAAGGACATGCTTGGGTGGGAGGGGGGAGAGGGAAGAGGGAGGGAGGTTTCGGTGATGGGACATAATAATCAACTACATTGTATATTGACAAAATAAAAATTAAAAAAGAAAAAATCTATAAGATTGGATGTTCACATAAGCCAAACAAATAATCAATATCCCAACAGAAAAATGAATCCCCAATCATGTGTAGACCATCGTGGATTCAATAAATTCCACTTATTTAAACTAATCTGGCCATTTAACATGAGAAACAATCCACGCTCCTTTAAAATTTTACTAGTAAGTGGAAAAAGTATGAATAGGAACAGCAAATTTTTAAAAAGAGTTTACGTTAAAAATTGCTTCTGTAACAACAAAGTATGCGTTTTATGCAACTTAATTTTCTATGATAATCAGATCAGAAAATGTTCTTTTTTGGTTTCTGAATGCAAGAGTAGGAGAGAAAACTAGGAAGATTATTTAATTGGAGGTAGGATAAAGTGTAAAAAAGAAGAAATAACAACACAAGATGTTAGTATCCCTGATACAGAGAACATTGGATTTCCGGGGACACGAGATGAGCTATGGTCGCTATGAGAGTAAGACCAGATAACAAAGCTACCAAAGACAATAGGTTGTTCCTATCTTTAACTTTCTCATCACATCTTTCAAGCCCTCCTGCTCAAACTACACAAATACAAGCACACACATATACACCCCCAACTCTCTCTCTTTCTCTTATTATTTTTAAAATGTAAATAAACCAATCTTAGAACTACTTCGTAGGTTAAAATTAAAAGAGGATCCTGAAAACCTTATTTTCACTGTGCTCTTGCTACTAATTAACTGGAGTGTGTCTGTTAAGTTTTCGTCACATGCAATTAAAAAGACAGTACTAACCTACCGTTGCATCTCTTCCATCTCTATATGACATCAATCTAGCCCATGTCTCATATTGTTGATAAAAATAAAAATAAATAAAGATAAAATCTGAGCTCCTTAGTAAGAAGATGGACATGCCAATGACACTTTGTTACAGAGAGATACAGGATTAAGATCATCTGACTCACTATCTTTTCCACTTCCTCTTAAAATTTGCTGCAGTTAGAAGCCCTTAATCATATGTGGTCCTGACAAACAGAGAAGAAACTCACCCAGATAAACAGATAGCTAGCTGAAATGTAAGAACAATTGATGGAACAGCTCTTTTCTACTAGATTTTGGATTTGGAAAGGTATTAATAGCAACAGGTCTTTCATCATCTGTTTCTTTTCTCAGCATTTCTTAGAATCTGAGCTGATCCCAGGGCGATGCTACAGACCTGGCCCCAACAGAGGTCGTTACACTTCTGAGACTCATCCCTACTTTACAGGAGAAAGATACC